CACCAATCTGCCCCAGTCTTGGCTAGTCTGAGATCATAGGCACACGTACCCAGCATGCACAGGGAAGTCCTGGGATGTGAACCCAGGGCTTCTCCCTATGTGGGTCCAGTTGCGTTCCTGCCGCACCACCATCCGCTCTCCCCGCTTTTTAAAAAACTTCCTTATTTATTTTTTCCGTGAGAGAGAGACAGACACGTACCCCCAACATAGTCTCACACTGTGAGCCGCCCTCCAGCCCTCTCAGCCAGCCAGGATCTGAGCACACGCACACATGTGCCCGGTGTGTAAAGCTCTACCCAGACATTGAAGCCGCACCTTCCACATGGCCTCCAGCTCTGCAGAGCGGTGAGCTACGGTGGCACCACCGTGCTAGTCTGGAATATCTTTAGTGACGTGGAGCAACGCTTACGGTGCAACTGACGCCAAGGTTTTGATTTAGTGGAAAAACCATACATGAAGAATAAGAGGATTTCCTTTTCTCTGTTGTACTTTCTCCCTACTCCTAGGTCTAAACGAGCATGAGCATCATAACAACAGAAAATGAAGGGGGACCTGAAAGAAAAAGACCCAGGGCTTCTTACTGCTGATAAAGCCTAGCCTCATCTCTTTCCTTCCTTCTGGATCATGGAAGCCTCCAGAACCACTGACTGCCTACCACTCTACCAGCATGGTGGCCAAACCCCTCAGACCTACCACAGAGAAAGAGCCCGGACTGGTCTCCAGTGACTGACCTCACAGTGCAGGCCCAGGTTTGACATGTGAGGGGCTAGGGAAGGGAGCTCTGGCCTGCACATGGCCCTGGAGTGACAGGGCAGAGTGACCTCAGGCCAGAGATCCAGCCAACAGGACCCCATCAGTAAAGTATCTGCAAGTTTGCCTTCTTGTATGTCTGCCTGAAAGTTTGTTTCTTTTGTTTTTCATTTTCTTTCTTTCTCTATTTAGCGAAAATCTGTCTGAATATTTTGACCTCCGATTCCCTCATCTTCCTCATCAAAGGGCCCTCTAGGCAGTGTGGGCCACAGTGGTATCCCTGCCAGGTCCCAAGGCTCACTCAGTAGCCTCGTGGATATGGCTGTGCCCTCTGATCTCGTGGAAGCAAGCTGGTATTCGCCAAATGCTGGAGAAACTGCTGTCACAGAGAGGGTCCAAACGACGCCCACCCAGAGTGGCTGCACCCACTGAAGAGCCCCGGGGCTCTCAGGAAACAGCACCCAAGGCCTGCTCCTTGATCCTGGCTCATGTAGAACAGCAGGACAGGGCCCAGACCCACCAGGAAAGCAGTACCTGCTCGGCACTGGGCCACAGCTAGTGTTGGTACCTTTGGACGAGCGAGTTGACAGATGCGAGAGCAGGCAAGGGCACCTAGGGCAACAGGGAAGGCTTCCTGGAGTAAGGGGCGTCTAAATGGAGACTGGAGGGAGAGTGAAAGGAGGAGCAGGCAAGACAGCAGGGGAGGGGAGGGCATGCCTAGAAGAAAGCAGCACAGCTCAGCACGGGGCAGTATCTGGGACCCGAGAAGCCTCAGGGGTGACAGCAGGAGTGGGGGCACATGGCCAAAGTGGGGCGGCAGGACCAAAAGACATATGCCATCAGCTCCAGGTTTTGTTCTTTTCACGAGGAAGCGCAGCCCTTGCAGGGTGACACTGCAGATGCGAGGAGTCCTTTGAGGGCTTCCAGAGGGACCCTGGTGCAGAAGACATGGGCTGAGCCCAGGACCAGTTGGGGGGTCCAGCAGTCAGCTAGAGCCCCGAGTGAAGCCTATGTGATTTCGGGGACACTTTCGGGGCAAACCAGGCAAGACCCCTAGTGGCGTCCCTGCTTGTGCTGCCTTCAGGAAGATGACAAGGAAGGCGTCTGGCTCGAGGAACACTGTCTGGACCCTCAGAGTGACACTAGAGTGTGGGTGCTGAGACACTAGCTAAAGTGGCACTTAGGTGACAGGTGGCCACCACACCTCTCCAAGGCCAGTCAGAGAGCTGTCCTTCCTGGGCAGCCCTGAGTCCCCAGCTGATCTCAGTGGGCGAGGCAGCCTTTGCAGTGGTCACAGGATGGAGCATGGAGCAAGGACGGGCCAGTGCTTTGCCCACACAACCTGCCCCTGTCCACCAGGCCAGGAAGTGCTAACAGCTGCCAGACTTCACATCCTGTTCCAGGAAGGTGTTGAAAACCTGTCTATCTCACCTTCACCTGAGCACGTGCCCAGCTCAGAGCAGCCAGGCTGACACACGCAATGGGGAGGTGGGCAGTTAGGGAAGCCCCACTTCCCACACCACCGGCCCCTCTCTCCTATGCCCAAATACCAGACACTGGCACCAGGGGCTGGAGGGCTCAGTGGCCAGGTTCTACAAGCGTGCCTCAGAGCAGGGGGGGGGCATTTACTCAAGCCCCTACAATGTGCTTGGCCCTGGGGACATAGAGAGGAGGAGTGGGTTCTGGCCCCCTGAGGGGTGACCTGTAGTCAGGCCCACCCTTCCTTGGCCCCTAGCAATGTGGTTACTCTAACACCACAGGGCCCCAGGGAGGTGGGACTGGCTCTGCCCGAGGGTGAGGACATCCTAGGATGGCAAAGCTGACACCTGAGTCCCCTGATGCATGCGCCACCAGGCTGGGCACTGTCACCATCTAGAGAGCTGCTAAGTGCCTGGGCAGATGGGAGAAGTATCAGCTGTTCAGCACAGCACTGCAGCTCAGCCTGCCCCAGACCGAAGGGGCCCTCAGCAGAACCTCAGCACAGACCCTCAGCTGCACAGAGCCAAGACTGCCTTGCTCTCCCGAAGAAGCTCATTAACAAAACAATCTACCCACAGCCTGGAACAGAAACAAGGGAGAGGAGGGAAGAGTGCCAGGGAGGGTGGGATGCTGTCACTCACCTCGGATGGAACAGCCTACTTCCCTGGGGGGCGAGGGGGGTGCCTGAGTGGGCCTCCCCTGGGCCCTGAATCCTCTCCCGTCCCTCACCAGGAGGGTCTGTTGCTAAGCTAGCAATGCCTGAGACACCTTTCATTCTTATCCCACACTTTCTTCCCTGGCAGGGTGCACCTCCCCCTCCCCCCAGCACCTGGGGCCTGTCTACCTACCCTGGTCCTCCTGCTCCTGGCTGTGCGGGTGCTGGGCCTCCTGCTCCGGTGCACAGATTCTGGAAGGAGGCCAGGTCCCCTCCCCTGGAACCCAGAGGAGGCAGGGCTACAGAAGACGGTCATGGTTGCAAATGAGGCTAAGGTTGCCTTTCTGGGCAAGCTTGCTTCAAAGACTGGCCTTGGCAACCTGCGAGTAGGTCCTGGCCCTCCCCACTCTGGGGCTCCCCTACACTCATTCTCTGTGCAGACAAGGAGGTGGCTTCCTGGACTGCTGGGGTCGGTCACTGCCCAGCTCCAGGGGCCTACAGCCCTGGCTGGCAGGAGGGAGGGTGGGTAGCTGCACCCCAAGGCCCACCTCTGCCTAGTACAGGGGGCTGGGCCATGGCCAAGAGTGCGGTGGGGCAAGGTCCTGCGCCAGGAACGTGAACCTGTGCAGAGTGAGCCCACAGTGTCGGGTGGAAGCAATGCTTCTAGGGCTGGGCAGGCAGTTCTGGAACAGGCAACTCCAACGTGGTCTACGGCAGGGACCTGAAATATCACCTCTTGGGTTAGCAGCGGTGTGTGTATGTGTGTGTGTGTGTGTGTGTGTGTGTGTGTGTGCGCACGCGCGTGTTAACAGCCAAGAAAGCGAAACATCCCTTTAACTCCAATAACCCAATTTCATGGCAGTCTGAGAAACTACGGACAGAGGGCTGTGCAGCAGAGGCTGCGCGGTGAACTACACTCCATTCCAGCCTGGCAGGACCCTCACGATCCCTCAGACACCAGCCTGACCCCAGCGCCTAAGAACACACCTACATCAGCTACAGATGAACCCGCCACCAGATTCCCGGCACAGTCAGTCCAGAGGAAACACAGAAAATAAACAAAGCAGCCAAGAAGACCTCTCTCCTGGCCCTTCCCAGCCCAGCCATCTAAAAGGTCCCCAGAGGCAGCCGAGCTAGACAAGTGGGCACCAACCAACCCGCAGGAAAACAACCCCAACTTCAACCACAAGAGACCCAACACACCCGAGGTCTGCTGCCCAGGATGGGGGCCCAGCACACCTTCCTGTTCTAGCGCTGACCCACGTTAGTCCTATGACCCCAACTCACAGACAGGAGGGTCAGGGGTGAACCCCAGGGAAGGTGTCTGGCTGTGCAAGTGCCCAACCGGGCTGGCGCCTTGGCCCCTGAGCGGCTGGCTGGCTTTTGTTCCTCTTCCAAGGGAAGCCTGTACCTGGAAGGGCTCCACCGGCAGGAGGCCACCTGGGAAGGACCACGGCATGGCCTCCACCCCGCCCCCAGCCCCAGGTCACACAGGCCTTTGTTCTACCTGCACACACCGGCAAGGAGAACCACCCCCTTCTCTGCTGGCCCCTCCGCACCCCTTGAAGGCAGCCAGGCGGAACCCGAGGGTTGGGGGCACCACAGGTGCAGGAAAAAGCAGCTCATTTCTCTCGTTTCCACATTTGGCCCCAGAACGGCGGACAGCGAACACTCCCGGTGGGTTACACACATCCGAACCCACTTACACGCTCAAGACCCGTGGGACTGCACGAGGTCCCCTGACCCTACAACCCGGGAGGGCCAGATCTCACACCAGCCTGCGGTGGATCCAGGGCAGAGGGTGGTGACCAGGAGGAAGGCCGCACACTGCAGCCGGGCTGGTGGGGGGGCAGAGGGTGCGGGAGGAGAGGGTGAGGTCAGAGGGCAAGGTAGCAATCGGCCAGAGCAGTACTAGCAGGAAGCCTGGAGCGCCCGGCAGGTCGGAAGGGGCTGCGGCAGAGGGGACCCCAGAGGGTAGGAGAGCCGGGGTCGGAGGGCACAGCCGGCCCAGCAGAGTTCAGCCGGAGCCCGGAGCCCGATTCGGGCTCGAGGGTGCAGCCATACGCTTGGACCCGCCGCCCGGGCCTCGACTGCGCTCCCCGCGGCAGGCGCTCACCTGGGCGTGCGCAGCGCGGCTGGGTCGCGGCGGTCCAGCACGCCGGGCACACAATTAGTGAGCTCGGTCCAGTCGGCGTGCAGCCCGCAGCTCCAACCCGTGGAGAAGCGGGAAAAGAGCCAGGTCTCGCGGCGGTTGGGCCGGTAGCAGGTGCACTTCTTCTGGCCTGGCCGGCAGTCGCAGGGCACCTCGAGGCGCACGTTCTGCACGAGGTGGCGGCCGAAGGTGGTGCCGCCGGTCTTCTGGATGTGCAGGAAGACGATCACGTCGTCGCCCTTCATGTCGAAGCGCAGCGAGCGCTCCAGCTCACGCACCGGGAAGTAGTACTTCTTCTCGTAGTGCGGGTCAGGCGTGGGGAAGAGGTCCAGGTCGTCGGGCGGCGCGCGGCCGCCGGGCGCGCCCAGGCTCAGCCCCGGGCCCGCGTACTGGTACAGGATGAGCATGAAGCACGCCGAGCCCGCCACCACCAGCACGAACTTGCTGGCGCGCTCAACCATGGTCCTGCCGCCGGCGCGCCGCCGCGCCC